CTGCCACTACTGCCACTGGTGCCACCGCTGTCACCACAACTACTACTGCCACTGCAACCACCACTGCCACTGCAGCTACTGCTGTCACCACTGCCACCACAACCACTACTGCCACCTCTGCCACTGCTCCCATCTCTGTCACCTCTGTCACCACAACCATTACTGCCACCTCTGTCACCATTGCCGCTGCAGCCACCACTGCCACCTCTGCCACCGCTGCCATCTCTGTCACCTCTGTCACCACCGCCACCGCAGCCACCACTGCCACCTCTGACACCGCTGCTGCCACCGCTGTCACCGAAGCCCTGCAGCTCCCCCGCCCGGACGGCGACAGCAACATTGGGAAGCAGTCAGCCCTGGCCATCCCCGCCGCACCCCTTCCCACATCCCGCTTGTATCTCCAGCCTCCGTAATCCACTTCGCAGTTTGTTTGCTTCGGGTTTCTAAGCTATCTCCCTTTTTTCTGCTTTCAGATATGGATTACTGCTACCGATGCAGCAACAAAACCTACTGGGCTCCCATCAACAGCACCACGTGCTACAGAAAGACGATCCATTTCCTTGCCTGGACTGACTGGTTTGCGATTTTCCTCCTCCTGCTCTCCGCTTTTGGGGTTCTACTGGTTTTGTTGATTAGTATAATATTTACTAAAAACTTGAGCACGCCGGTTGTAAAGGCGTCTGGAGGTCTAACCGTCTGCTACATCATTCTCTTCAGCCACTTCTTGATTTTTTTAAGCACCATCTTCTTCATAGATGAACCCACAGAATTCAAGTGTAAAACTAGGCAAGCCCTCTTTGGCATAAGTTTTGCACTCTGCATTTCATGTATTTTAGTGAAGTCACTGAAAATTTTACTAGCCTTCAGCTTTGATCCCAAGCTGCAGAATTTCCTGAAATGCATATATAAACCTGTTCCCACTGTGGTCACCTGCACTGGAATTCAAGTTATCATTTGCACCTTCTGGCTAATATTTAGGACACCTTTTGTAAAGCAAAATTTCTCAATCGCAAAAGCAATAATTCTAGAGTGCAACGAGGGCTCTATTGTGGCTTTCGGGATTATGTTGGGCTACATCGCTGCCTTAGCCTTCATTTGTTTCATATTTGCCTTTAAAGGCAGGAAGTTGCCAGAGAACTACAACGAAGCTAAATTCATCACCTTTGGCATGCTAATTTACTTCATAGCGTGGATTGTATTTATCCCTGTCTATGCAACCACATTCGGCAAATACCTGCCAGCAGTGGAAATCATCGTTGTTTTAATATCCAATTATGGAATCCTCTGCTGCACTTTTCTTCCAAAGTGCTACGTCATCATTTGCAAGCAAGAAACGAATACAAAATCTGCCTTTCTCAAAATGATTTACACTTATTCCTCCAAGAGCGCAAGCAGCGTTGCTGTTAGTCAGATTTCTTCAGATTCAAAATCTTCCGGCTCCCGAGCTGCTCTCTCAGACTTGTGTAAGTGTGAGAAAAACTCTGTGAATGGAAACTGCCATTTCCAAGTGCCTGGGCAGAGAGTGATAAAAGGGAAAGTTCTTCCTAAAAATACGGCAAGGACTATGGCCAGGAAAAGACTCTCCAGCATATGACTGGGTAGCATTAAAGTACTAGAAGACAGAAAGCCATCTTAGGGAGCCATTTCTCTTTCGGGTTTCTTCCTTCTTGGCATCCCCAAAGCGAGGAGGCCACCCGAAATGCCTTCTCCTCCGGTGCTTAAGCAGTTACCCATGGCCAGATGTGCAAGGCTCTCCTTGCTCGCGGAGCCCAGCCCCAGCTCCTGCGCGCGCCGTGAGGTGCAGACCCCTTCAGCAGCTCCCTGCCTTCCCCGGCCCGCGCCCGCAGACCTGTGGGAACCTCTTCCGCCATCTCACTCCTCCGAGCGAGGCAGAAGCATCAGGAAATTATTATTTCTCACAGACTTGTAGGTGGGAACATATGGGTTTACCTCACTTTTTTTGCATCTTTGAGACTCAGTTGTTTCAGGCACTCTTCTTCCCAGCTGGGTCCGCTTTACAGCTCAGACGGAGCCCTCTCCCAGCTTTTGTTTGACAGGGTAAACAAGCCCGTCCTTTAGTCTCCGCTTTTAAGATAAGCTTTCCATTCTCCTGAACATCCAAAAGTTACCTTTTTCACCTGATATGAGTGAATCCTTTTTTTTTAAACTCCCCAAAATTGCACACCTTATTCCAGACAAGTGCTGCAGTCACTTTTAAAGTTCCTTGTATTTACCAGGATAATAATGAACTAGAGACAGTTCTATATGAAAATTAAAGAATTTCTCTGGAGCTCTGCAGTTATACGTATGTCCATCTACTTTTTTGCCCCATAGTCTGAGGAAATACACTGATCCACCTTCTGTACCTCCTCTGATGCACGAGGAGAGAGGATCTGTCCCCAGTTATCTGCTTAATTGAAGATGCAATGTCAATGTCTAATGTCAAAACTTACAAACGCTAATCGATTCCTCTCGTCATCCTAAATAATGTAAAGACCAGGATCAGTGTGAGCACACCCTGGGAATTTTAGCTTTTTTGATATGTATTTTAAAAATCTGATTTTCAACAAGAAGATGAGAAGGCACCATGCCAACACGTAGAAATAGCACAGGAATGGACTGACATGAGCTGCACTGGATGAGTCTCTGCTCTGGAGCTCCATGAACACAGCTACGCCATGCCTGCTGTCCCAGAGGCAAACGGCACGTTCAGAGAAGAAGAAATCTTCCTGTTGGGACAACAGTACCACAGAGCTTCTTCAATCCCTAAACAGCAGAGCTATGTTGCCAGTCCAGGACTGTGAAGCATATTTTTCCACATCCATAAAGCCCATGATCTGGACCGTAGAAACTTCTGTGCTGTGTTACCCTGAAATAACACTAAATTCCTTGAGTTTTTTCCATGCTTCTTGTTTGGATCTGGAATAATTGGATGTTGTGGCAAGTCAAACTAAAATTCAGGAGATTTGGTAGTTCATAGACACCTTGTATTATTATTATGTAAAATATGTCTATTTTTCTATCAGTTCTATTTATATGTTGTAACCCATATCTACACGATTTTTCTACTCATATTTTGTTAAAAATAGCTATAGATCACATTTCAGCAATGGACACAGGCAACAAAATTACTTTGATATGTAGACTATATATGTAATACATATCTGTGAAGCTATATTTAAAGTAATTTGGATGACAAGGGTGTGATTTACATACATATTTGAGTAATTATGTAAGTTCTGTAGCTGATTGGAAGAATGAAGGTTTATGCATATGTGTTTATACGATGAATGCTGTTCATACATCAGCAGTTATGAATACTGTTCTGAATACGAAATTATCTACAACAATGTTAAAATTCTTGCGATTTGGCTGCCAACGCAGCAAACTCTCTCCCCAAAAGAAAGAAGCAAAGCTTACATTGCATGAATGTCAGCACTAAGCTGGTTAAACAAGTGAATTTGTCTTGAACGTTGTACCTGTATTTATCGTTTTCACAGAATCACAGAATCACAGAACGGTAGGGGTTGGAAGGGACCTCTGTGGGTCATCTAGTCCAACCCTCCTGCCGAAGCAGGGTCACCTACAGCAGGCTGCACAGGACCTTGTCCAGGTGGGAAGAAAAGCGTTGAGCATGTTGTGCCTTGAGGATTTAAGGAAAGGGGATAATTAAAGCCATATTGTTGTTTAAAATTGAGTTTGCTTACTTAGTTTCATTACATTTCCCCATGAACTTTGTTTGGCCTTGAAGAGCAGCAGTGTATGCACCTGTGCGGTGTTTCCACTCCGGAGATCTCCATCTGCTCCTTACAAACGTCCTTTAGGTTGAAAGCGAAGTATGGTGGGGCATTCCCCCTACGGGACAATGAGGAAAATGTCTTGGGGAACAGGGCACAATGACAGCGATATGAAGGTCTCTGTGGAGGTGTCTCTAAGGAAAGACATCACAGAATTTCAAAGGAGTCCTCAATGCCCTGTCTGCCTCTGGAGGTACTCAGGTCTTTTTCACGGCGTACAGGCAGTGGTGGAGCTGAGAGGGTGTCACAGATTTGCTAGCTAGACTTGGCAGAAAAAAGAAAAAAGAAACACCAAGCTGTGTTACTTACGTTGTTAAATGCCTTGTCTGCAAGAAGCAGGTGATCGTATGTAGGTAGAACACAAGGGATTGTGCTACCCTACACAGAGGATTAACAAAGCTGAAAATTGGGGTTCGTGATGTTAAAGGGAGCACTTGCACACATTTCCGTGCCCGGAACAGTAAGTGTCCCAGCAATCTGACCGTTCCTGTTACCAGGCACAGGGACCTTAAATGAGCCTGAAACAGATTTCCCTCACCAGAGCTCAGAACAGAAATCGCCTTCACCGAGTCACAGCGAAGTCACGGCGTGGCTGCCCTGGAGCCACAGCCCGTAGGTCGGACCGTGCGGGGCTGCGGGGGTCGGCTCGTCTTCCCAGCTCAGCGCACGCTCTGCTCGCTCGCTTTGGAAAGACTCCGACCCCACTGCTCGGAATGCTGACACCCGTACGCGCCCACCTGCAAGCTTTCAGCTTCCAGGAGCAACAGAGGACACAAGATCCCCAAATACAGTGCTGCCCACAGAGAAGTCAGGTGTGAAGATGCCGTTTGTTGGGGTCAGCGGGAGGCTGCTCCGGATGTAACGGCTATTTCACTTTCCGGGGTTTTATGTCATTCCTCGTTAATGATGCTAAACGACGCATTCTGAAGCCACTGTCACACAGTGTACAATATCTTCAGGGAGAACGAGGACTGTGAAGTCTGCCAAATTTTTCAAGTCCCCTCCTCCAGGGCATAACTCTCTCAAGATTTCGGTAGCTCGAGCCGTGCAGACGCCTTTCAGCCACCCACAATCTTTCGAGCAGCTCTTCGGCGAGCGCTGGGAACTATTTATGCTAGCTCCAGGCTCCCTCCCAGCAGCTCTGCCGACGGCCACCGGAGCCACCACCACCCTAAACGCGTGGGTTCCGCGCAGAGCAGCAGCGAAGAGCAGTGTTTGGGACGCTGCTCCGTAACGCAGGGTGCTGGGCAGCCCGGCCCGGCCACGCTGACCCCTCCTGCCCTGGCCAGCTGGGTCTGCCCCCCACCGAGCCGCTCGCATACTCGGGGGGTGTGCTGCGCGCGAAGAGCTGCGGGCTCTTCTTTTCTGTCATTTTCAGAAGGACGTGGAGAAAGGCGGTGCGGAGCTTCGGTTCAGGGAGCTGGGTCCTTCTGCTCAGTGAACGGCTCATTCGCAAATGGAAATTTCGTTCTGAAATAGGATGTGGAACGACGCATTCTTAGATTTTTTTTTTTTTAAGTTGGATTAAAGTTTGAGTTAAATGGATCGGAATGGCTGTTTTACCAATAATAAGGACATTATGCTACTGTAATGATTTTGGAGTGGAAAGTGTACACGTGTGAATAAGAAAACATCAACCTGGGACTACTCACTGAAAAGAAAGTGCTTTTTCTGAGTATCTTTCCAGAACGAAACGCTCTCCAAACAGCAGTTAAAAACCCTTTTAATACCGAGGGCGCTGGAACTCACTCCGGTGACAAAGGTCTGATTCCTCTGCTGAACGATTTGCCTTCGGGAGAAGCTGAGACCTCAGCGGGACC